ATGTGATCCACTTAGGAGCAAAATCAAACAGAGCATCAGTTCAATTAAGTAATGTGGTTTGGTATGTAGGAAGTGGGGCTAATTAAAACCAAGTCAGAGGAGAGGAACTTTCTAATTCTCATATTAATTCATCCAGAGCCACCTGCATTTAATTGTCGTCTTCTTTTCCTTTGCTAACTCCCTAGTGGAAGGGAGGAGGGCAGAGGCTATGGGCTTCTGAAAGCTTTTAGGTTCTATAGGGCAGGTCTCTAATGGATGCTAATTATAGTGAAGGAAGGTGAGGTGGGACCTTGGGAATGGAGACCCCCCATTCCCAAGGTCCCACCATAGAGGGAACATATGTAAATGGGGACTCATCAAGTCTATTAAGGAGGTGTATATTTCTGAAATCTGTTAAATCCACTCTTGTTCCATTAGCCATTTGCTTCCATGCAAGAGTCCAGGGAGATAGGCAGGGCAAGTTTCACAGAGGAGAAAACTAAAGCCCAGGGAGATCTGAGTCTTGCTCAAGGTTTCCTAGCCAGAGGCTAGACTAGACTCTGGGTCTCCTGATTGCCTGGCCGGAACTCTGAAGACTCAAGAGGATGGTGATTTCCTAGCCATGGGCTTTCCTCTTTTCCCAGCCTCCGGTTTTCAAGGGACCTAGGATGAGACCTTTTGGCATCTCTGAGGCTCCTTGCTCTTTGCTCATCAGGCTACTTCCCGTGTTGCCTCCTACAGGAGAGCTAGAGTCCCTGATGATGAGAGTAGGGGACAGGAAGAAAGAGGCCCAGTAGGTCCCGACCGCAGTGATGGTAACAGGTTGTAGTGATCAGGCCCTGATGAAGGAGGAGTGGGCACTGTGCTCCCATCCACTGCCATGTGCACTCGCTGCCAAGCCAGATTCTTTTGTATTCAGAGCAGGAGGGGTTTTTGTTTTAAGTGCAGCTGATATAGCAAAATCTGTGAAGACTGAGAGCCACAGAGACCCAGAGTCTACAACTGGGAACAGTTTCTGGCTGTGGGACTTGAGGCAGGGATGGGACGGGAGCCAGGATATCCAGGCTGCTTTTGCCCAGTGGCTTGTACATTTCTGCCCTGTATCCAGGGCCTGCCCAGGTATGGCTCACCTTAGCCTGGCACACCATAGCCTTTATTGCCACACTTGAACCATTGACCTGGCATTCAGACCCCTTTCGGGATAGCAGGAGTGTTTGTTTGTTTGTTTAGTTTGGTTTGTCTTAATCCAAAGAAGGCTATATTTTCCCTTTTTAATGTTTCTTACATGCAAAATGCTGTATATATGCTTATTGTAAAAAATGTACAAACAATACAGAAGTATATAAAGAGAATAGTTAATGCCCTCCTACCACACAGACATACGCACATGTCTTTTTTACCACCTTTTTAATTCCCAGAGTTAGCCTATTAGCAGTTTGGTATGTGTAATTCCAGCTTAAACACACACAATTTTTTAAAAACAATAAAATAATAGTACACATGCTGTTTTACAAATTTTTTCACTGAAGAATGTGTCAAGGTGTGTTTCTCTTTCAATACATAGGAATATACTTGATTCTTTTTAGCTGATGTATAATATTCCAAAATGTGTATATACCATAATTTATTTAAAAATTCCCCTATTGAGGGACACTTAGGTTGTCCTTTATGTAACATTTTTACATAAGATTCAGCAATGAACATACTTGAACTTATTTTGGCATGTTTTTATGAGTATATCCATAGGCAAATTCCTTGAGTTGAAATTGCTTGGTCAAGTGGCACATGCATTTACAATTTTCCTAAGTATTCCCAACTTGCCCTCCAAAAAGGCTGTGCCATTTTACACCCCCATCAATGGTATATGAGAGTGAGCAATGTCCCCTTTATCTGGGATTTGAATGGAACAGTCTAGAGATATTCCTTTTAGTTTACTTGTGTTGCTACAAGCCCCATCACAGAGCCTCTCGCTTCTCATGTGACTCAAGGGCACGGTTGGGTTGGTGAAAGCCAAAGGAGAAATACGTTTAGGGTAGTAAAAATAAGACAGAACTGAGACTGGGAGACTTGGTTTCTAGGACCGTCTCTCTGAGGCATTGGACAAGCTACTTTAAACCCCTGGGCATCCACTTGCTCATCTATGAGATGTAGATCATCGTAATTGCCACAGTACACTGTTGTGGTTGTTGTGAGGATCAAACGGGGAGATACAAAAGTGGTTTGTAACCTGAGAAGCAGGATACACGTGCCAAGTGGTTATTATGGTAGTGTTTTTATTATATCCTTAAATCAATGAACTTGAGGAAAGGAACAGGGGGCAGTGGGAGTTGAGTGGGAAAGATTACACAGATGAAATCCTTAAGACATTTCAGCTTCCCTGAAAGTTCCCACGCAGTTGTCCTATATTCTTGGAGAGCAAACCATGTTGGCAATAAAGACTGCTTTATGGTATCAAGAATATTATAGGTTATCACTCTTTCACAGGAAGACCGAAGTCTTTTGTGCTGGGTCTGGCTCCTAAGTCCAGTCCTCTTTCTATGACACCACTATGCTTTAATTTTTCAAGCACCTAATAGGATTTTGGCCCCGTGCTGGTTTCTGTAATCACCAGGGAAAGAAGAAATACACACATGAAACGTTTAAATAACCATGTGCTGTGACTGCATAAATAGCTCTGAGTTATAGCTGAGGTATATGGGAGGATTAGAGTGAAATCAAATACCTTTTAATTACAATTTAAATCAATAGCCTAGAAGACCCAAGTTAAATCATTAGCCAGGAAAATCCAGTTATACCTTGCTATTTCTTAAAAAAAAAAAAAAAGTGTTCTTATTGTTTAAAATAGCCCAAATAAGTGCATTTTACAAATCAGAGATGTAACATTAAGTAAATGACATTCATTTAGGTCATGATTTTTTACCATGATGTAAAAACAAAAATCAGTGTGATAGGTTACTTTTTTTTAACCCCAAGGTGATTAAAAAGATATCTGTAAAATCATTGGAAGCAGAACCATCCTGATTTCAACCTATTAATCAGGGATTTGAGGAGGAGGGTGATGGGTGTTTTTGCCTGAGATGACAAGTAACCACCATGCAAAAAAAAGCTATTTAAAAATGCCTGATTTTTAAAAAACACCAATCTGGTATACTCTGTTTTTTTTCAAAGCAAATATGTATTTTAACAAAACCAGTAATGCCACGTATCTCATTAGAAAAAGCATGGGCTTTGGACTCAGATCTAGATACAAATCCCAGCTCTGCCACTTTCTACAATGTTCATGTAATACTCATGGATGCATAAATATATTTTTTAATTAAGGAAAATAAAAAGTAAAATGCAAAGTGATCCTTTAAAAAGTCTGGAGTATGTTGTTTACTTAGTCTTTGCCTCCCTCTTTCCTGCTTTGTCATAGATTGGAAGGGTCGTTGTTGTTCTTTTTTCAATTCCCAGTATCATCACAATTTAAAATGAATTAGTCCAAAGAGGCATCCCATTCTCCAACTTCCCCAGATGTTGTCTCTGGTGAATCTAGAGGCCTGTTGTATGACTTTTCCTAAAAGGACCTGGGCAGATATATTAGTTCACTCTCAGTCTTTTTTTGAGGAAGATTGGCCCTGCACTAACATCTGTGGCCAAACTTCCTCTTTCTCTTTTTTCTCCCCAAAGCCCCAGTACATAGTTGTGCATCACAGTTGTAGAGTTGTAGCTCTTGTATGTGGGACGCCACCTGAGCATGGCTTGATGAGCGGTGACTAGGTCTGCACCCAGGATCCAAACCAGCGAACCCTGGGCTGCCAAAGCGGAACGCGCGAACTTAACCGCTACGCCACCGGGCCAACCCCTCACTCTCGGTTTTGAAACTTATTTTGTTGGCATTATGGAGAAATGATTGCTGGATGTTATGCAGTGTTGAGAAAATTGGATAAAAGTGCACTGAGGAGGGTCATGACCCATTTTGACCATTTAAGTATGTGAGGATATATTTATAAAACTAAGTTTGAAAGTGGAGAGGAAAAATCACCCACAACCCTACTACTTTAACCCAACTATTATAATTTTATGTTCTCTTCTGATCTTTTTTTGCAGGTGTATTTTACATCATTATGATTCAAATATACTTAGTATTTTGCATTCTTTGTCATTTTTGATGACAGCTTACTGTCTTCTTGCTGAGATTTACCATAATTTACATACTCTAGCCAAATCCTGGGGAGTATGGATTTTGGAGTAGCAAGAGATGATTTTTGGAGATCGATTTTAGGCTTTGGACACCAGCAAAAATTTGAACTTTTTCTTAAAGACAAGAGAGGCCATGGAAGGTTTTAGGGAGAGCCACATTTTAATGAAATTAAATGTACCTATCTATATCTATATGTCTATAGATACATATAAACTGGCAGTAGATTATCCTTTTTTTGTATAATGCTCTGTGTTTTGAAATGTGTTTCATGCACAGAAAGGTAGTTTCCCCATCTAGACTGTCATCTCTTTGAATCCCACTGCCATAGCTGCCTGAGTTTACTGTGTATTCCAGAGACTCCGTCAGTGTAACCTGCTTGCTCGCCTGTCAGGTGGTGTCCCGAATCCAAACCATTTCACCCCAATAAAGAGGGCCTGTGTAGCTGGACATATTTCCTCCTCTGAAAATTTATCTGAAATCCCATTCTTCCTGAGGGGACAGTTAAGGAAGATACATGAAATACCGCAGCCCCTCACTACTGTCAGGTGCGCCTCTTTCTTGATGGCCCCACCTCCGTCTAGACAACCCTGACAGTATAGAAGTTTCCATCTCCTTTTCCTATCCCTCTCCCTATTCCCTCCCCTTGATTTTTTTTCCCTCCCAAGCGCTTCCTGCCTGGAAACAAAAGATTGGTCCTTAGTAGCCCACTCAGGGCGATTTTAGTTGTATGCTCACCGTCTGATTGGCCTATGTACGGCGCAGAGCCCGGGTGACGTCATAGCGGAGAAGGGCTAGGGAGCGGTTGTGGAGCAGGGGCTCTACCGCGGGCGGCCAGCTGTCGGCAGCTGACCGTCTGGGGTCTCGGGCGGGGGGGGGCTGCAGTTTTTCCCGGCTTGGAGCAAGTGTGCGGGGCCGGGAGGAGAGCCAGGGGGAAGCGGGCCGGGCCTGGGGCTGCGGCTGCGGCCGCGGGGCTGCGGCTCCCCAGCCCCGCCAGCCGGAGCGTTCGGAGGTAGAGGAAAGGTCTTGACAGGGTGGCTGGACCAGTGGCAGGTAAATCCCTCGACTTGCGGCACCCGGCTCGCTCCGGGGAAGGGGTGGAGGCTGGGTGCTGCTGGGCAGATTTTCTGCCTCGAGCGCCCTACGTGGCTCCCGCGGAGCTCGGAGCCCCAGCGCGCAGTTTGCATGATCCGGGTTCGCGAACGCGGACAGGTGGGTGTGTCAGGGCCATCCCCCGGAGGGCCTGGGCCCCTTCGCTGGGTCAAGCCCTAGACTCGCTTGCTGGGGCCTGGGCCTCTTGAGGCAAAATCCGCCCCAAAAGCTACGTCAGCCTGTAAGTCTTGTACCATCTTCCCGCCGCCCTCCCCCAGCCACAGGAGCGGCGATGACAGTACCCCCCTAAGGGGAGGGGGTGTGGCCGCGGCCCGGGCAAGTCCCGGGGAGGGGGAAAAGCTCGACCTAGCAAACAGAAAAAGTGACGATTTTCTTAAACGGGCGCCTCTCGCCCTTTTTTTTTGTTTATCCCCTTTCCTTATTTTGCTGAGGGGAGGGTAGTGACAGAAGGACTCCTCTTCTCCTGCGAGACTGGGATGATGCAATAATGTCCCTAGAAAGCCCAGGGTCTGTCAGTTGGCCTTTGTCTGGGGGGCAGGGTCATTAGGTTCACTTTCCCCCTTCCCTCTCCCTCTCACCTCGCAGGGGGCCTTACCTTCAGTTTGTGAACTGACTCAGGCAAAATTACTGCCGCACTTTTGGGCAGAGTGAACGTTTTAGATTCTTGCTCTTTCAGGTTTTCCTTCCCTAGGTGGTGGTTGAAGGATGGGGGAGCCACGGGAGGGTGGTGCCGGCAGGGAGGCAGCCAGAGGCCCCACTTGTTTTTTGGTCCCACCTTCCAGAATCCAGTGACAGACTCTGGACTTGAGGGTTCTGGGCTGTGGTCTGTAGAAGCCAAGGAGAGAAGGGTGAGTGGCTTGACTTTGGGAAGCATGAAGGGGGCGGATGCAGTGCTATTTTTTTTTTAATGGCTTTTAGCAGGGAAGCCTTTAGCCATGTTAGTCTTGCTCCGCCCATGGTTTTGCAGACTCAAATCCAGGTCAAGTGTATGGCTGTCTGAGGTGTTGGAACAGAAGGAGGTCCATTCCTGTTGGTGACAACACTGTGGCCCTGTTCTGGGATGACCGAGGTGTAAAGGTCAGTGCAGTTTTCACTGGGCCATTTGCAAAATTATAATGGGGCAGGTCTATGATTTGGTACTTGAGGCCCCTAATCAGGGGCACCTTGGGCAAAGGGACTTAATGTGGTAATGGATGATTAATAGGCCAGAGCTTGGAGAGAGAGCCATGTAAGCCTCTATTTCTGGATACAAATGTCATACCTCCATCCCCCATGAAAGAGGCAAAATGGGAAGAGGCTGGGATGTATGCTGGGTAAAACCCGACAGCTAAGAATCTTAAATCTCGAGGCCAGAGGGACCTTGAGATGTCAAGGAGCAGACCCTCCAAGCCTCCAGGCAGGCAAATGGGCCTTGTAGGCGAGACCTTACAGAAAAAGGAGGTTCACCTGTGATGGGGTGCAGGCAACGGGCTACAATGCCCTAAAGGATGTTCTGACTAGCTGACCATTCCCACAGGTTGTAGATTTTCTGGTTGGAAGCAGAAATGGTGTATAGAGCAGACAAGCTTGCTGAGGTCTTTGGGGGAAGGGGCATGGATGTGACAAGTGAGGGAAATGAAGAATAACTGCGAGGATAGGGAAGTGCTATCCCCGTCAGAGACTCTGCTATTGTGAGGTCAAAGAGGGTGGTCAAGGCAAAAAAAAAAGAAAATCAGATCTAGAAATCAAATAGAGTAGGTAGATAAGATCAGATGGAGTAGGTAGGAACAAAGTGATGGAGAGATAGAAGAAGAAAAAAGCCTTTGTCTTACCAGTAGCCCAAAGGCCCTGATTTCCCTGGTGAGACGGGGGAATTTTGGTGGCTCAGCCCAGACTGAGAGAAATCATGTCGATATTTCTCGATATTTAGGGACTGAATAGCATTCCCATCAGTGTAACCCACTTTCAGCAGCCAGTAGCTTTGGTCAAGGGAAGAAGAAACTCCATGAGCAGCAGCCTCAACAACCGGCTCTTTCCTCCTGGGTAAGGACAAGGGAGTGGAGGCGCTTCGAATCTGGCCAAGACTGGTAGGTTGACTGCTTTTACATGGGGTGGGCCAGCTCCAGGTCTGGGGCCCCTGCTCCGGGCACGGAGGTATCTGCCTGTGCTCAAAAAAAAAAAAAAGCTCTCCTTCCCAGGGGCCCATGGGACCCTGTGCAGGCTGAGGGACAGTGAAAACCACTGCCCTAGAAGGTAAGTGCAGCTGTTGAGTCATCTGGGGTGCAGCTTATGCTTCAGCTGCCTTGTTGTCCCCCAGCCTCTCCACCTGCTAGAGGCTAGACGTTTCCTTCTGCAGGGCCTGGGGCGGACTCGCCTGCCAACTTCGCACTATGTGGTTTCTCCAGTAGGGGGTGGGAAAGGGCATGCAGCAGCGTACAGGGCTTGGAATCCTCCATTTCAGGTGTGAACCCTGAGTCTCAGATCAAGTAACAGCCATTCATTTAAAATCTGATTTAGGGATACCAGAGAAGCAAGTGAACCCTCAGGTCTGGCAGTCTGTTTCCATTTCCCTCCAGAAATGTGTCACTTCCTACCGCGCTTCGTGACTTTGGAAGGCATTTGCATTTACATATGTGGTGATTACTTGAATCACTAATACACACAGCCTAACCCAGAGTTTAATTGGAAATGTTAATCAATGCAATGGATCGGTGTCTGATTTGCACATTTGGTGAATTATCGGCAGGTTGGGGCAATCTGTGCTGCACCTAGGGGATGCGTTGAGGAGCAAAACGTGTAGCTACAGCTGGGTCTGCAGGTGGGAAGTAAAATGGGGGAGGTGGACCTTGAAGACTGGCAAGAGATGAACGATTTACTGGTGGGGAAAGGAGATCATTCCAAAGGTGTGGTCACAGAGAGGCCTGGGTGACTGATCACTGAGATGGAATAGGACAGTCTTGGATCCCACACAGTGGAGGGGGAGGCTAGGGTTTTTCCCTGCGGTGAGAGGGGGCTGCATTTGGAGAAGGAAGTTTTTTAGGGACTAGAGGACCATGACCTGGTGTGGAATGAACCCTGGGAGTCAGAAGTCAGGTGTTCTGGTCTGAGTGTTTCTGCCTCTCTCTTGGCCTCAGTTTCTTTGTCTTTCAAGTGATGGGATTGGACTAAGTAGTTTCTAAGATGGTCATGACATTTTAGGAAGTGAGTCCATTTGTTCTTGGTAATGAAGACAGGTCCACTAAAGGGCAGTGCCTTCTGCCTCCCCTGCAAATTAACCCTTCTAAGTCTCACTTTTAATTTTTTTCTTTTGTGAGGAAGATTGGCTGTGAGCTAACATCTGTTGCCAATCCTCCTCTTTTTGCTGAGGAAGATTGGCCCTGAGCTAACATCTTTGCCCATCTTCCTCTACTTTGTATATGGGACACCGCCACAGCATGGCTTGATGAGTGGTGTGTAGGTCAGCACCCGGTATTCGAACCTGCAAACCCTGGGCCACTGAAGTGGAGTGTGCGAACTTCACCACTATGCCACCAGGCCGGCCCCCTAAGTCTCAGTTTTTGGTATTTCCTCCAATTTTGGGGAAAACAAATGCAAAACAAACCCACAACTACCACTCACATTTCATCTCTTTCAATAGTTTGATTTTACTTTTATTTCATGTGAATAGGGAACAGGAGGGAAAAGAGAAGCCCAAGCCAAGAATCTGCTGGTGGCCCTATAACCAAGCCCCTGAAAAGCTCTATGGGGATCTTATACGGTGGGGGGGGTGGGGGGTGCAGATATTCGCTAGTGGCCCTGACTCCCTAACTCAGTCTCAAAATAGAAGGGCTTGGGGTGAGGGTGAAAGAAGGGCCTGGCTTAGGATGTGTATCCTTTTTCTTCTGTCTTTCTCCTCCATCTCTCTTTGGGCCAGATGAACTTTTTGGAATTCTGTACCTTGGAGACACTACCCCTAACTATCAGCACAATTGCGCCCTCTAGTGATCTCAACAGGGACACCTTTGGCAGAGTTCCCCATGCTCTGGTGCTAAATCTTTGTGCAGCTGTTACTCCCTGTGGAGAAGGGCTCTAGTCCTTCCCACTGGCCTGAAGGAGAAACTCAGGCAGCTGTGGCTTCCTGAAGGCCCTTCTCGTAAATGGATGGCGCTGATAGTTGAGAGAGGGAGCAATCCCCCTAGTGCCCAGTTTCTTTGGGCCTGAAAAAGGTTCCAGGACTCCTTTCCCAGCTATCTTCAGTGCTGGGCAAAGCATCTGTCATGAGAGAGCTCCCTGGTAGAGGGAGAGTGGTTGTCAATAACTTCCCTCCCCGCTAAACAAGGTGGCAGCCCTAGTCCTCAGACAGAGATGCTGGCAGGAAGCTGGAGTGCAGCAAGGCTGGGGTGCTGGTAGGCATAAGATGCATGCACTAATCCCTACCCCAGCCTCCAGCAGGAAGCTGAGCCATGGGTGCACACACAAGGCAATAGAGACACACAACACGATATAGACACACAATGTGGCATAGACATGACACATAATATGGATTAGACACGTGGCACACAGCACAGAGAACATGCAATACACATGGAACAGAGTGCAGACCCCAGCACATACACAATATGGTACTGACAGGATACACATACACAACACAATATAAACACAATTGCACACACATCCAACATGATACAGACTTGACACAAACACAACATAATATAGATATGACAACACACACACACACACAATATGGTACAGGCACACAAATACAGCATGGTACAGGGAGCAGCACAGATAAACCTAACCCCACATGTGCTCACACACAGGACACATCCCCACACTCCCAACACAACACACCCCCAGGCAGGTGAAAGGAGTGTGACCACCAGGCAGAGCCCTGTGTCCTGCCAGTTGCATCTGCACTGGCTCCAGCTGTATAACTGGTGAGTTTGAAGCAGGCTGCCATGGAGTTAATAAGTGGCTGAGGGGAAGTGGAGGTAGGCCTAAGGAAAGCTCTTGATCTTACACAGAAACCTGGAGGTGCTCCGTTAGTGCAGGTGGGAGCATCCCCCTTCTATCCTCTAGCACTGTTCCCCACCCCTATGGGTGTATGCTGCCTCCCTAGGACCAGCCCTCAGCTCTGGGAATGGGCAAGGGGCTTCTTGCAGCCATTCTTCTTGAGCCCTCTTGGAGCCCCGCCCCTCTCTGGAGCTTTGGCAGCCCTCACTCCCTTACCTCCAACCCACCCCCTTGCAGGATGAACTCATGCAGCGAGGGAGGAGGTAGGCAGACCACTCAGCAGGGCAGTGGGTGGGATTTGGAAAGGCACCTTGGAGTGTGCATATGGGAAGCAACAGGAAATGCCAGGGCTGCTGGGGGACAGACGTGCTCTGGAGTCTTGCCAAGAGCAAGTGGCAGACCTGGGATATGTCTTGGTCTTCTTATTTAAGTAGGGGTAATTGGGAATTATGGGGGCCCTTGAAGCTTGACCCCTTGAAGCTTCAGTTTTGCTGTCTTCACCTTTAGATGTCCATCCATCCATCCATCCATCCATCCATCCATCCATCCATCCGTGTCTTTGGATTAGGACCCTGTGCCTTCTGGTATCCTCTAATAGATGTGTCCTAACCTGGATCCAGCTTTATTGGGAGTTACATATAGGTGCTGCTTTTCTTTGAGGATCAACACCATGGAGGGAAGGGGGGGAGGGTAGGAAGGGTCACAGAGCTTGGGGCCCTATCAACATAAGATAGATCTGCTCCTTGAGAAGCTAAAGTGATTGTGGGGAAAGGCAGAAAAGGGAGAGGTTAGAGAGACCCCGTCTCCATCATGGTTGGACATGGAAACCTCTGTGGGGAAGATAGGGTAAATTGTCAGCAAAAAAAATCCCACAGTATATATTTATCCTAAGAAATCTGAGGAAGACATACCTGTGGTGGAGATTGGCGGAAGGCAGAGGGGAGTTCCAATTAGGATCAGGCTGAGGCCCTCAGATTCTGTGAGATGACAGCAAATTAGGGGACTTCAGAGTGCCCCTCCCTCCAGTGAAGGAGGTTGTTGAGAAGGGAAATGGAGTCAGAGACTTGGAGTTGAGGGATGAAATAACCTGAACAGCAGTGCCAGGACTTCAGGAAGATTTTCCATCATCTCTCAGTACACCAGACCATACCACCTCCCATAAATGTGTAAATATTTCACATCTTTCGTATTTGATTTAGTCCTCCCAGCACTTGTCCAAGGTGACTAGGGCAGGTCTTTTCCACTTGATAGCAAGCATATGCAGAGTGGTGAGGTGACAGCAGTTCTCAACTTGAAACTCTCAGTTCAGTGCCATTTCTGGACTCCTGCAATGCTCTTTTACACTTCTCACCTCTCTGATTCTCTGCCTTCTTAAGGGATTTTCTGAAATTCACCGTAGTGTGTGTGTGATGTTTGGGGGGTTGGACAAGGGAGTTGTAGCAGGTGGGGAAGGAGGTTCCTGCTCCCCCACAATGCTTCTCTTGGCAGGTTTCCCCCAAGAGAGAGCAGCCGACTCCTTGCATCTTGTGGCAGCTGGTGTGCCCAGCACTGAGTCCATCGGAGCTGAAGGCAGCCTGGCCCCTTCTCATGGGCAGCGCCCACCTGTGCTGAAGTCCTACAGCGGTGGCAGTGTGAGGTGAGTAATGGATTCCAGGGCAGGGAGTTAGGGATCTCCAAATCCAGGTAAATGCCACCTTTCCATTAGAGCTCCCAATATTAATGACCTTGCCCAGTGCCTCACCAGCCAGGCCTCATAGCACAGCCCCTACTTTCTGGGGAATTGTGCCCAATACAACTGCCCTTGGTTTCTTAGTTCCTCCATCTCTAATATGGGAGTGACAGCCTTGACCTACGTCCTGGGGTGAGTAGGAGAAACAACCTAACAGTCACTGCCAAGTCCTTTGCAAATGTCAAGCTTCATCTAAGAGCTTCAGTGTAACACAGACGTGCTTCCCATCAAGCTGTCATTTCCTTTCCTCCTAATTCCCTGAAGTCGAAGTGGCATTTCAGCCACATGCCACAAATTCACCAATCGGTTCCTCTAATTTCTACCACCCCATAAGTTTAATTTTACTTTCCTATTGAAAGTATACCCCCACCCCATCCATCCCAGCTTCTGGGCCTGGCAGGCTTAACTTAAACCTTCCAGAACCTTCCCTCTGCCTTCCCACCCAACCAGGGAGCACTTCCTCCCCCAGCTCTCCAACAGCACCTGAGTCTGTAGCATGCAGTGTAGCCCTTGCTTCTCTACTGCCTTAAATAATTCTTGCATAGTTACTGGAGTGTTCATCTTGGCAGGTAAACTAGACTGTAAGCTCTTCAGGGGTAGGGACTAGATGTCACAGGTTTCTAGTCTCGCTCACAAATTCCTGACAGTTCACCAGAAGCTCTTCAATTTGGGCCTCTCTCTCTTCCTCTCCACTTCTTTCAGGTTTCTTGGCCTGCCTCTCTGATCATCTACCTGTCTCTTTTCCACTCAGGCTGCCATTATAGCTTCCTCTTTTGGCTTCTCTGTCTGGCCTTCTGTTGCTATATGCTGCAGTCCACCTATCTGTTTGTATTTTACCATCCCTCTGTTTGGTCTTCTGTCTGTCTCTTTGTCCGTTACTTAGGCATCTCTCACATTGTCTAAGTCAAAAACAGCCAAAATAAAAAATATCCAAGAAAAACAAACTAAACAAAACACAAACAAGGAATATGCAATGCAATTCCCTTTCACACTGAGCCTGTCCTGGGCCTACAGGACAAAGGAAAACTGCAGCTCAGCGGCAGGTGTTTCTGTGATGCCTTTTCATGAAGGGGAAGCTCCAGAGTTTCAGCCGTGAAATTGAAGGTATGAAATTACAGCCTTGTTGATACTGATGCGTTCAACTTTCTAGAGATGTTCTGGTAGGGGATCCTCTATAGACTTTCGGCGACAGAAGGTAACTAGAACTGGCTAAAATAAGAAGCAAGCCCCTGGGTCTCTCCTGGGTGTTCTATGACAGCTACACTAATAACTTGTATTTATTGAGTGTCAACTGTTGCCGGTACTGTGCTAGGCATTTTACTTGCATGAGACCATTTGAACCTACAATAACTCTGCAAGGTAAGTATTTTTTTCTAATAGTTAACTGTATTTGTTTCTGATTATAAAAGTGATACTAGCTCAAGGTAGGTATTATTACCATCACTGTTTTACCCATGAGGAGATAGAGGTTGAGAAGGGCTAAGTAACTTGCCTAAAACTGGACACATGTTGTAACTTTGGGTGGAAAGACACTTCCTGGACAGTTTCTCAGCATCCCAAATTATGTTCATACCCTTCAGTGCACGTACACACTCTCGCGTACTCTTGTACATTCACACAATCATGTTTATCTCATTGACTCACACTCACTTTTCATACTGGACACATTCATAGTGATGATCACTCTTACGCCCTGACCCTCACGCACAATCATATTTATGAACACACTACATACAGGCACATTCATACTGCCACACACTGACATATACTCACATTTATATACTCACATTTTCATGCTGACACACACTCACACTTAACCATACACCCCACCCTCACATTCTCATCCACTCATACCTTTATGTTCTTTCTTACATTCTCATAGTCTCCCAGTCACACTTGCACACTCAAATCCACACAGATGATACAATCACCCTTAACCCTCAGATTCCTACACAATCACACACACTCAACACACATTGACTTTCCCCTGCCTCTTTCTTGTACAGTCATAAACACACTCAATTTCATACACTCCAACACATTTGCACTGATACCACTATTTCCTCCTCACAGTCACACATTTACACAACTTATAACTCATCACAGGGACACACATGTGTATACATGCTCTTATGTTTGCATTTATACATGTTCACACCATAAACACAATCTCACCCATTTAAACTCACACTTGCTTGCACTCTTACATTCAGAATTACATGCTCTTTCACTCATATGCTCAGCGCTGACACTATCTCCTGCTCCTCTCACATTCACACATAATCACACATACACATGGAAATACTCATTTTGACATACATTCACACTCACACACTCACCTTCACACTGAGACATAATTGCACTCTATGCCACACTAACAGGCACACATTCTCAAATAGAATCATATGCACACTCATTTTCATAACTCAGTCATTTTCACTGACACACATCACCCTACCCTCAAAGTCATAACACAATCACATGCAGAGGTGCACTCACACTGACACACACTGACACATACATATGCTCACTCACATTCAGTACTCACACAAATTTGCATTAACACACAGTCACACTTACTGCACACCCATGCTTACATACTTACATTCTCACATACTCTCACATTCACTACCATACGCTCAAAATCATACACTCCCACACATCCCCATGGAGACACAGTCACACTTCCTCACACTCACATACATTCACATGTACACCGTCTCACGCTCCAACTCCAACTTGTACATCACACATACTCACACTGGCACAATCACTCTTCCCACATGCTCACGTTCTTATACATTCCCACTCTCAAACTGTCATACTGACACACCCTCACTCCCATTTTGCACATTCACACCAGTATGCATGTAGTGACATGCACAGTCACTGACCTGCGTTTACACTGGCACACATCACATTGACCCACACAATTCACACTGCCACAGTCAATTCACATAGGTGCATACATGCACTCACACACAGGCAGTTACTGATCCTACCTATGGCCACATAGATTCACGCTCAGACTCATACTCACCCTGCCATGTCTTCTCTTACACTGATACACTTGCTCACACTGAACCATGTGCCCATGTAGTCACTGATGCATGGGTATACTGACTCTCACTAAACACACTCTCCTGAACCGTCATGGACTCTTACCCATACTCTCACATGGACACATTGACACTAACACATACTCACACTGACACTGACTTAACATTCCCTCACTGAGATGATCCTATTGACCCACATCTACTCATATTGATTCACACATGCTTATAGTGACCCACACTGTCATGCACACACCCACATATACTTTCCCAAACTCTTATACATACCCCCACACTGGTATTGCCACATTCACATGCTTTCTCACTGACACACACACCGTAACACAACCAATTGCAGCTAATAGTTCATATTCACAGTTGTCACTTTTTTGTCCTATTTGCTACTAGTGCTCTCCACACCTCTGCTAAAAGGTTTTCCAGCAACATGTGGTCAAAGGAACAATGTTGGTCTCAGCCAGGGTGCCAGCGGGATTAGATCTTTCCAGTGCAGAAAGGAGTGGAATTTATGTCTAGGATTAAAAAGAAAAAGCTCAAACTTGCAGATCAAGTTTTATATCCTTCACCATAGTTTCCTTTTAAAGAAATCATCTGTAATAAAACCTTAGCCAGTCCTGTCAAAATGAGGTTGGGGTTTAGATGGTGTATTTATTTTCTGGAAGTTTATAGCTTAACTTGCTACCTCCTTTCCCTCCCAAGGCGGGAGAAGGTGAAGAATGTGTTTGTTTATACACTCTTAATGGTCTCCTATGCAAAAGTGTGTGCCTCCAATTTTATGCTTATGATATGGAATTCATTGATGATTAGACACATGGAAAGGGCAGGCCTGCTTCCAGCAGGAACCTCTAATCTAGCCAAGTCTACTTAATAGCCTGTTAACCTTAGAATATGGTATTCAAGAAAGAGGGAAAAAAATGGTGAATGAGTTACCTGGATGATAAAATAAATTTCTATCGTGAGTGTGCATGCACATATATAGTCCCCACTGGAATTTCAACAACTGTTACTAACAAGTTAGAGGAAATTTCTCAGTAGGCATGGGTAAAGACAAGCTGAATAAACTTCCTTGCACTCCAGACAGACTGTGGATTTCCCTAAAAGAGGGTGAAAAGAAGCACAAAACCCAAGAGTGAACCAGTAGGAGTCTGGTACCAGAGTTGTACACCACCCTAGTTTCTCACCAGAGATTTAGAAACATGAGAGCACCTTAAGAGTCCATGACTTCCCCTGGTGGAGTCTTCCTGGAGTAAAAATGAGTGCAAAATATGTCTAAGCTGCTGTTTGATATGGGTTCTGGCTCACCATGGGGAAGAGCCTATACTCTGGAATACCCCCCAACACCTCACACCTGCCGTTAGATTGAGAACTTCTTTGATAGCAGAGACCACATCATCTTACTTAGTTTATTTTGGATACCCAATGCTTAGCACAATGCCAGGCCCAGAGCAGCTACTTGTGAAACTCAATTAGGAAACTAAAAGTGGTAGGTGAGTAGCAACATGTTGTCAGGACAGATCCAGTGCTGTCCCAGCAATCCCAGAATTCCAATGGCATTGCCAGCTCAGATTGAGGATCTTCTATCGGCCCCACATAGTGCTAGGCCCAGAGGGACATTCAAATGAGTGAAAGACACATGCTCTGTCCTTGAGGTAATTTTATTTGAATGGGAAAGATGAAGTCACCATGAAACAGTAGTACAAGGCAACAGTCTTGAAGCTTGGGATTGGAGGAATCTTTATCATGTAATCCAGTGGTCTTCAGGCTGCAAAAGCCTTGAGGGCCCATGAGTAGTGGGGAGCAGCAGTCAGGATTTAGGAAAGCCACTTCT